TTCATATACCATCTGTGGTTAGTTAGTTTTAGTGGTATTGAATTGATTCCTGCCACAAAGCCAGATATTATGCTAACTGGTCTGTCACACGTGGTTATAATAATTTCATGAAACTTAGTCTCTGATAAGAGATTTTAATTAAAACTGAGAGAAGCAGCAATAGTTAAATTTATGCCAATCATGTTTTGCATAAAACGAAGGTTAGTGTTCATTCATGAATCTGAGGACTTTGTGAATAACAGCAGATATCATTAATAGTTACCTTAAACTACAGTCAAGAACTTTTTAGATTTTTCTTTATAGCAAATTATAATTACTTGTAAAAGTAGCCTTGAGCAGGCAAATATTGAACCTTTTTACTGGGATGTGATGTTTGTAGAAGTCAGATTCTAAAGGACAAAATGAGCAACTTGAAAAAACTAGGTACAAAATAATTGTGATACATACATCTCTCTGGTCATGGCACATGATTGGATAACTTGTACCAAAATTTCTACCTATGTAGATAAAGAATGATTTACAGCCCAGCCGGCATAGCTCAGTGGTTGAGGGTCGACCTATGAACCAGAAGGTCCCAGTTCTAGTCCTGGTTCGATTCCTGGTCAGGGCACATGCACAGGTTGCAGACTTGATCCTCAGTGTGAGGCATGCAGGAGGCAGCCAATCAATGATTCTCATCACTGATGTTTCTATCTCTCCTGCTCCCTCTCCCTTCCTCTCGGAAATCAATAAAAATGTATTTAAAAGTAAAAAAGAATGGTATACAGATTCCAGATAAAATTTAGAAGGAGAAAATGCTCATCGGGAAGATGACCATGACAAACTGATTTGCAAAAGAATCCTTGAAGAAGATTAACAAGCTTTATCTTTTTAGAAGAAATGGGCCCACTGCCAGAATAAAAGATGGTGAGAACAAATTTAAAGTGTAAGAGAAAGCAATTTAAGGGAAAATGGTTATTTGGTGGAAACAGAGCTTGATCATGAATAAGTTGCTAGAGTGGGACTAAATAATATTTCTGAAGACTTTTGGACTAAAAATAAAATACTGTTTATGTATATTAAGCAGCAGTGTAAAGGGGGGGGGCATTTCAGTAAACATTGATTGGCATCATGTGAAAAAAATATGGGTACAAAGCATAACATTTTTTAATTATATTTCTGCAAATCATAGTGCGACCACACCTGGAATACAGCATCCAGTCCTGATTGTTCTATATCAAGGAAACTATAATTCAGTTATGAAGACCACAGTATGGTGAGGGGGAAATTGATCGAATCAAAGTTAATAAAATTATAAATTATGTGTGGATAAGATGGCACAAGGGAGAATGTGGACTTGTACATCCATACTGGAATATCAGGCTTAGAGATATACATAACACATTAAATTATTGTAAAATAAAAAAAAAGGTTACATTTCCATAAGACAGGGAAGTTGGGAGAGGCAGAGCAGTTACATTTCCATAAGACAAGGGAACTGGGAGCAGCCAAAGGTCTATATTTACAAAATAAAGGAGAGTCTCAAATGTCCCCTGTGAGGTTTGACCTTTACTTTGAGAGGTTAGCTATCTTATCCAAGCCATCCAGCTACCAAGCAGAACAACTGGAACTCTGGGCCTTTCTGTTCTTTATGTAGTGGGAATGTGTATGTGCACATGCGTGTGTGTCCACTTTGTAGCAAGCAAACGTGTCTTCTTTGTAGAATATTGCATATAGATGTTATCTGTCATTTGAGGCTTCCCATCATTTGAACACCATTTTCATGTTTTGATGGTGTCCCACATATTGATGACCACTTTCCCAATGTAGAATCAGAAAATGTCATTTTCCTGGTCTACCTTTAAGCAAGGCTGCATTTAATATGATTTTGCAGATTCATCAACTTGAGACTTCAGAATCAAGCAGTGTGAGGAAACTGGCTCTGAGTGGGCCATGCATTGTTCTGGCCTCAGTAGCGGCAAATTGTGGGGGCCCTGACCAAGAGAACACCAGATGTTAAAGGCCCATTTACCATACGTGTGCACAAAGGCAATGACACAGCAGTATCAGTATACACACTGCGAAGGTGCACTCTTGAGTAACCCACCTGTTTTGTGTAACACTGATGCCACCAATTGGCAAGAAGCCTCATTTGTTTGAGCTGGTAGAACGGGCTCCTGAACAAGCGGCTACTTGTGTCTTCTTCTAGTTCCTGGTTTCCAAGGAGGTCCTGTCCCTAGCAGAGGGGCTCAGACCCAACACAAACACATCCAGTTTTTTCAATGAATGATAGCAGTCATAGTAGATTTGAGTTCCTAGGAACTTGTGTGTGGGCAGAACAGTTGTGGCAGCAGCAGCAGTTTCCTCATATGTCCAGTCCTACAGTGTGGTTCTCGTATTGTTATTGGAAGCTTATCTTCAAGTCCACATATCTGGCACTTCTAACAATTCCATTAACTACTTAATATTCTTTAATAAATTTGTTTCCTGTTTCAAATAGCCAGAATGGAATTGTTTGCTTTCTGTGAGAGCTCTAATATAACCATATTTTATGGTACATAAATATTTTCAAAAACCATTTCATCTAAACCTTTTGAAATCTAGGAGTAAAGCATTATAAAAATATTTATATTATGCTTAAGGGAAGTCTCTTCTAAACTTCAATAAACTAGAAAGGCACTGATTATTTAACAAGTTATTACTTCTAAATAAATAAATTGTCATTGTCAGTTAATTTTAGTACTTATCATTGTCAGTAAAATTGTTGGAAAACTACATTCTAATGTCATAGAAATATTGCATTGTTTAGTAATAATCATAACAAAGAATTCTATGTTCATTTTGAAATAGCAAACATTTAAAAATGAGTCTCTAAATGTATAAGGGAATAAATTATTATATTCTTTAAGAATATAATTACTCTAAAACTAGGGAAGCTATATTCTTTGTTCTACCTCACCAAAATGTCCAGAAGATATTTATTCCCCATTTATTTATAAAAATCATGTAAAATTAGTTTATTTCTAATTAGTCATTGATTAATCATCACAGTAGAATCCTTACTGAGCCTAACTGGGGACATTTGGTAAAAAAAGCAACTTTATTTCAAAGTAGTCAAATTAATTCCTACGTACTGCAGTATGTGGAATAGAAGAATGAAGAGAGAGCTGTAATAAGTTTCACTGCAAAATATTATAGAAAAGACACACAAAATGAGTTGGAATTCCAACCTTCATAATTATAATTAATATATTAATGTACTAGATAACTTTTACCCTGGCTTATATTGATTAATTATTTTCTTCCCAAGCAAGTCAAAATAATTGATCAGTTAACTAATTCACATCAGTCCAGTTAGGATGTGACATTTTAAAATAAAAATATATAAAGAAAAAAAAATTAGAAACTGAATATTGCTTATAAGTAAGTTTTAATGTGTGGTTGACAGCACAGAAATGCAACCCATTACAATTTCTTTCTCATCAATGGAAATAATGACTTACTAAAAATAAAACCAATAAAATGCCACCTAACAAATGGAGGATTGATAGAAAATCATGATTTATATAGCTATATTAGTAACTGATTCAGGAAAACTCATCAATACATTCTAATTGTGTGGGGGTTTTTTTAAGTGTACTAGGGAGAAGGATATACATTCTCAAAATAGCTACCTATAAATTACTAATTAGTTAATTACAAAGGTGAAAAAGTTACCTTTATAATAAAGAAAGCTGGCAGACATCACTGTATCTGTGGTAAAGAAGTATTTTTAAGCCCTAGCTCATTTGGCTCAGTGGATAGATCATTGGCCTGCAGACTAAAGGGTCCCAGGTTTGATTCTGGCCAAGTGCACATGCAGAAGGTAGCCAATCAATGATTTTCTCTCATCATTGATGTTTCTAGCTCTCTTTCCCTCTCCCTTCCTCTCTGAAATCAATAAAAATTAAAAAGAGTACTTTTAAGACTATAAGAATAATATTTTGCTGTTCATGATAATAAATAAATGTCAATGTCTACTCAACTGAGCCTGAAGACTATCCCCAACAATAGATGAAGTGTAATTGACATGGATGGAACAGCTAGGTATTCTGCTATGACCCTTGTATTTTTCAAAATACTTGTTTAATTTTTAGTTGATTTATTATATTTCATTGAGCACACCACAGGAAGCTTCAGTGGACATTCATCAGCCATAGAGTATGTACTGTCAAAAAGCTTTCAGTTATTGCATGTCTAACAGCCTTAATTCTCCTTTTATAATTATACTGACATTCGAGGAAAACACTAAAAAATAAAGAACCCTATTGCGATAAACAAATGCTGTCTTCTTCAGTGTCAAACTGTTAGCAAGGATAACTTCAACTAAATAACCAAAGCAGTTGGGCCCAGCATCAAGCATATGTGCAGTGCCCCTCTTATATACCCACCATTGATGATTCTTATTCAATTATTATTCTAATTCTTTTTATCTTTATGGTAAAACTTAGGGGCAGGTTTATACAAACATAGAAACATTGATATTAAAAAGTTATTTCAGATTTTGCTTGTTTGTCGTAATCATTATTCTTCAGTGGGTTGCAGATCAGAGTTTCTCCTTATGAAAGTGACCATGAAAGCTACTGTAAGCTTTTTGCTGTGTAAAAAGATTTAATGATAGTTGCCAGATAGGATGGAAGAAGGTTGGGATGAATAGGTGCAAAAGAGAAAGTGATTAAGATGTGCAATTTGCCAGTTATTAAAATAGTCACAGGGATGTAAGATATAGCATGGAAAATACAGTCCATAATGCTATATAATAAAGAGGTAATATGCAAATTAACCCTCAGGCCCTCAAAAGATGGCTGCCTATGACCAGACCGGCAGGGGGATTAGTGAGGGACGACCAAACAACTGAACACCAGGCTGCGTGGGGTGACCAAGCCGGCAGGGGGGGCAGTTGTGGGTGACCAGGCCAGCGGTGGGGGTTGGGGGGGCAGTTAGGGGCAACCAGGTTGACAGAGGGTGGCAGTCGGGGGCAACCAGGCAGGCAGACAGGTGAGCAATTAGGAGCCAGCGGTCCCAGATTGGAGAGGGTGCAGGCTGGGCTGAGGAGACCCCCCCCCCATGCAAGAATTTTCATGCACCAGGCCTCGAGTATTGTAATAACTATGTACGGTGTCTAATGGGTAGTACTTTTATCAAGCTGATCACTTTTTAAGTTATATAAATGCCTAATCACTATGTTGCATACCTGAAACTAATATATTGTGTTAACTGTAATTGAAAAATAAAAATTATTTTAAAATATTTAAGAAAAAAAATTAAACCCATCTTAAGACTATAAATAATATAATAAATAAAATGTCTGTTACTAAACAAAAAATAATAAAAAATATTTTATTATTTTTGAAAACTTAATTATCCTATACCTGTATTTAGCAGGATATCTGATTAGATAATCTAAGAGTTTCTTGTCTACTCTGTGAAAACTTGTTTCTCCAAAGCAGCCCAATAGACTACTAGTGAAGATAAAAGAGTGTGATAGAGAGAAATTCTTTGTGCAAGATGAACTGATGTCACTAAAGGAGCTAGACATTATAAAAATGTGTTGCCCCCAAGTTATTAACCTCATCAATTCATCAAGCATCCTCATTAATTTAAAAATGACCTGAATATAATGTTAATAATAAGTCATCACTGAGCAACCATTGCAATGTGACAATTCTGGTAATTACAGACAGTCCTCGGGTTACGTTGGACTTGGCGTATGTCGTTTCGTGGTTACGTCGTCATCTCCCATTTATTTATTTAAAAAAAATGTTCCGTCATTTCGACGTATGTACATATGTGCTTTATGTACATTTATTTATTTACCACAAGTAAAGGTCAGGAATTGTTATCTCTCTTTTAATTTTTTTTATTGTTTCACTTCATTACTGCTGTGTATGTGCTCCATGTGAGTGACATAGGTGCTTATGTAGGTGGGTTCCGACTATACTGAAAATCACGTTACTTTGTGCAGTAGGAACAGATCTCTGACGTAACCTGAGGACCTACTGTATTTAGTAAGTGGTATAGCAAGGCCTAAAATCTAGTAGTCTAAATCTAGACCCTATGCTCTTTGCCTCTGTGTACTGTAGATTTTTTGCATGAATATTCATACTGTAGTAGCTTACTTTCCACTTATTATGCATTCAAGTATGCAAAGTAGATATTTAGAAGTTATAACTATGAAAGCCTGACTAATATAGACATGAACTTAAACAACAGTAAATCAATAATAACTTATAAGTATTGAATAGTTAAAAATTGCCAACTAGCCCAGTTGGCATGGCTCTGTGGTTGAGCGTCATCTATAAACCAGGAGGTCACAGTTTGATTCTTGGTCAGGGCACATGCCCAGGTTGAGGGCTTGATCTCCAGTAGGGGTGTGCAGGAGGCAGCCAAT